GAATACTAATGTTATGCATACAACAATGAAATGGTTGTCATCGCGCAACTTTATCGATCCAGACGATTTCGATAGGAAAGATATTCTACGTCACATTTGGTTCACTCAATTTAGTGGCACCTCCTCAGGATTTGAACGCGTCTTTGCATCAGAAATTTATGGTAGTACCGATATTTTAGGCATTCAAGATTGGATCTATTTCGATCACGAAGAATCATCCAATGCGATCAATTATATGGGATACACTGATAAAGTGGATCTTGGAAATGTATGTATGAAAATAATTAAATATTATGTTATATTATTTTTTAATCTTTGAATTATAAATTTAGAGAATTATTCAAATTCAATGAATTTTATAATTTTTAATGATTCCAGAAAGCATCACTTGTTAAATTACATCTAAAAATGGACGGTATTATCAGACCAAACGTTACGATATTCGTAGGTACAACGCCGGAACTTGAAATGTCCTTATACACGATATGTTTCTATGCTAGACCAAATAATCTTTGTCCAGTGTCATTGGGTAATACCACATTCAATATATATACTCATGCCTTCAGATATTATGGGAAGGATGTTATAGATCTTGCTCTGCCAATCTTATAATTTGATTTATTTGCTGCCTCGATTTTTAGATAATATAATAAAAATAAGATATTAAATATTACAAATAATTGAATGAATAGAAAATAGAATAAAATAATTAATTGTAATAACTCAATTTAAATTTCACACTTTCATTCGTATACATAATAATTAAAATAATAAATAAAAAACAATATTTTGTCATAAAAAAATGAATCAACCATTACATTTACTTAATTCTCCTGAGAAAAGTCCATACGTAAGTAAGTGATAATTTTCCAAATGTTTCCTTCTACCGTAACAACAGCAAACGGCCAAGATTTAATTTTGTCTGAAAAATATAAAAAAGAAAAACCGTTTATTTTTCATAAATAGAATTATGTTTCAGGATATTCATTCAGTTTTAAGTTAATACAGCTTTTTAATAAGAGAGAGAGATTAAGTTTTTCTTATATGAAGAGAGAAAAAAAGGAATCCTATTCAATTTAATGATCAACTTCGTTGCACACGTAGTAATTTCATGAGCGAGATCTCGTCGTAAAGAGATCCCCACTCCTTTCAGATTTCCTAGAAGTGATCAATGAAAAGAGAAAGCCCACGAGAATACATGACTCAATGTCGACGAGTTGTATATTTGCTGTTAAACCGAGCCCTGTATTTATTGCGCTACGAACTGTGAAATACGGTAGTAGCACCTCGTTGTGCTAACAGTGAAACAATTCTAAGTGTCTTCAATAGATTTCTTTGTTTTTCTTAGTTTTCATTCTTTCTTTCTGTCTCTTTCTCTCTCTCATCTTAAATCATTTATTGTCTTAAAGTACAAACACAAGATCATTTGATCAGGATTTAAAAAGTGATTATGATTATCAGGAAGACCTTGATCATTTTGATCGCTACTTTCCTCATTTTTGGTAAGATATATACATATATATATGTATAAATATTAGAATTTTAAAAAAACTTTTTTATATTTAATAAAAATTAAAAATCGGTTTATATAATGTAATGATGTAATAATGTCTGTAAAATAAGGTAATATGAGTCATAAAAAGTTGTTTGAAAGATTCATGATAGTGTGAATAATTACATAGTTATTTGTGAAAAATGATGCAATCAAAAAATTGTAGTTTATGCTTAAAAAAACAAGACACTTTGAAAATGTTATTGTTAGTTGTATACGTGTGAAATATAACACTACGAATGTGATAGAAATTTATTAAATTAAGATGCACAGTAAAGATAAATCTATTTATTCGAATATCGTACCACGTTTATTTTTGATAGATTAAGTATTCGCGAAAGTTTAGATCGTATACTTTCTAAATTAAGAATTTGAAAGTATCATAGCTGCGTCGAAATTTTTTATTATGTTTCTTACATACCAATTAAAAAAGTTTCTTTTAAATATTATCATCTATTTAATGAAATAAAAATTAACGTTTAATAATAAAAAATATAAACAATTGTTCAAGGCTGAAACAAAATGGATATACAAGCAAATATGATAGAAGAAGTATCACGATGCAAATTATTCTTGATAGCATTATTATTCAATTGTCAGCATTCTACTTTAATTGAAAAACACGCATGCGCTAAGAAGAGCAAGTTCTTTCGTTATTTCGTTAATTTAGTTAAATTCTTTGAAATGTATAGATATATCAGTCAAATACGTAATAGATAGTAGTGCATGCATCAGTGCATGAATGTAAGTAACATGATTTATCTCTATTACATAAATTACTAAAGTGTCTAGATTTGATATTATTACTACAATAGAGATAGTAAGTAGCATAAAGGGGAATTTAACTATACTACTATATAATTATAATAATTGTGTTAACAGCTACTGGAGAAGCTCGAAAGACCGGTGGCGGTGGTCGTAAAAATAGTGGAGGATGGGGTTGGGGATCACGTTCGTCAAGAACAACATCTAAACCACCCCACAGTAGACCTCAAAATACTGAACATGGTATGTTACTCTAGTTATTTCAATGATTGTATGTGTAGCTAATAGAGCTTTGATGTCCTTTTTCCAAGGTTCAACTCCAAATAAAATAGGATGGAATGTTCCAGACTCAAACAGACAAGCCAGCAGCAATACGGCGTCAAAACCGTCAGCTCCGGCTTTAGATCAAAATATTGCTTCTAAAACTAGTGCAACTTCTTTGCAATCAGGATATAATCCATCAGGTAAATTTCTTTCAAGTAATTATACTTGCGGTATAAAATAGTCATCTTTTTAATGATTACAGGAGGATATCCCCGCCAGAGTCAACCAATTGGTTCTCAACAAAGTGCACACAATCCTTATAATAATGCTGGATACAATCCATCAGCTGGTCAAGGCTACAATCCTTCGGTCGGTGGCTATAATCCTTCAGTCGGTGGCTATAATCCTTCAGTTGGTGGCTATAATCATGGCTATCCAGGCCAAGGTCAATCTTACAGTTCACCTCATATGGGACAGCCTTATAATCCAATGGGTAGTGGATACAATCCAGCACACGGTCAGCCTTTTAATCCGTCTTATGGTCAATCCTATAGTCCTTCGTTTGGGCAAGCACCACAACAAACTATTCTCTTGCCATCCTCGCAACCATATAAGCCAGGTATCGGACAAATCGCGAAAGAAGCTTTTGTCTTTGCTGGAGTCAGTGCAGGTGTAAATGCAGCAGTGAGCAGAATTCTCCCAGGTGGAATTTATGGGCATAGCGGCGGTGGCGGTGGTAGTAGTGGTAATGCAGGCACTCCTGTTTCTTCTCATACTCAAATCACTTATAATAATTATTATAACAATGCAACTCCTGATGCCAACGTGGGAGCTGCTCAACCTGCAGCAGCTCAACCTGCAGCAGTTCAACCTGCAGCAGCTCAACCTGCTGCAAGTCCTTCTGTTCCAAATGGAGCTGCTGTACTACCGGAAGAACCTCCTACTGTTAAGCCATTACAAAATACTGAAACTAATGCAAATAGCAATGCTTCTCCTGGAGCTGATAAATCCAATACTCAAAATTCTCCAGGATCCAGCAATAATCCTAATCCACTCGGTTTTGTGACCTCTGATGAGGATATTAAGAAATTGTCTGAAGAATTATTTAATAAAGATACAAATAATGCGTTCAAATATATTACCATTAAACTACAGGGCCAAAAGAAAGACGACAGTGTTACAGATGACGCCAGTGATCCGTAAGTGTGATCTCTTTTTTATAAATATATTACCAAATGATTTCTTTTAAGATAAATATTCTTTCCTTTTAATAGATTGTTGGATGTTAAACCAGAAGCTTATGAAATACCAACGATCAAATCTGTTATCGATCTTTACGATGATTATGAATTGGACGTTAAAGTGAAAGAAAATCTTACGCCTGAGAGACGTAAAAAGGAATCTGAATTTCTTGACAAATTATTAGAAACCGATGTTATGCAAAATGCAATGAAATTTTTAGCAAACAAAGGATATATACCCGATGATCCATATGAATTCAAGGACACGTTAAAACGCATATGGTTTTCACAGTTTAAACGAATAGACGGAGATGCGTCAAGTTCCGGCTTTGAAACTGTTTTCTTAGCAGAACAATTTGATTCTGACATAATTGGTTTACATAACTGGATCTATTATGCCATGAAAGAGGCTGAGAAAAAGATCGATTATCTTGGATATATTAAAGAATTAACGTTTGGAGATGTAAGTATTAACATTGTATAAAAAATTTATGTATTACTTTATTAATTATTAATTCATTTTTCTTTCTAAACCGTTTATATATTTATGATGAGATTCATGATACCATTCGAAAATTTAATTTATTTGATCACACACTTACATACATATTTTTATAACACCTTTTACAGAAGGCAGCTGTACTCAAAATACGTTCTAAATTAAATGGCTTTGTTCAACCGGTGACCTCCATATTTGTTGGAACATCACCAGAATTAGAGATGGCACTTTATACGGTTTGTTTCTTTGCGCGTCCAAATACTGCTTGTCCTGTTTCTTTTAGTGGAACTAATTTCATAATTATTGCAAACAGAGTAAATTACTTTGGTAAAGATATATTAGTTGCTGCATTTCCAGAAATCTAATTTCTAAGATCTATATTTTTCTTAATTAAATATTGCATATCTATATTATCAAAGATAATTTCTCTTTAAGTTTTCTAAAAATATAATCTTATTTATATATTATATTTCATATCCCTAATTCTGCAGGAATGTGAAAAAAAACTTGCTTTTTAACTATTCTGAATGAGTATTAAAATATTTATAATAAAAACTTGTATAATCAAATAAAATAATTACGAGTCAACATATATAGCATTACGTTTTAAATATAATAAATATTTCCGTCTATTTAGGAAAAAAATGTATAATATGTATAAAAGAAAAAGTAAGCCTACCTTCATATTTTTATAATACCTTCTTCTTAATTCTGAAAGTTCTATTATAGGTATTATCGAAGGTCTTCCATGTGCACATCGAGTTGGAGATTTTGTAGTTTTTAAATCATTGAAAAGTTCTATGCATTCTTGTACAGATAACGATTGACCAAATTTTATGGCACCTAAGGAGATATAACATAGAATAATTTATACACATTACATTTTTTAGGCCACTTTTTCTAAGATTACCAATTTGTACAAATAATAAATACCATGACATGCTTCCATTGATACAGCATTGTGAATAGATAAAGGTAAAATATTTATACCATTTCCATTCGTAATATTATCCGCAATTTCATTTAGCAAATTCTGGATTGTAGTTATTAATTTTACGTCATTGTAATAATGTTTATTAGTTGTAAAACATTTTGGTATACTGTATATGCTTAAAGTATTTTCATTAATTGCAGTTAATTTGATTCCATATTTATCTAATGACTTTTTGTTCGAGAGAAATAGTGTACACATATGCATTTTCACTTCTATTCTTATCGGAATTGGCAATTTTTTTGTTAGGAAATTGTTATGATCAGATGTTCTGTAACCTGTATAAATAAATGTAATTGTAAATGAACAAATAATACATTCTAATATTTATTCTATATAATTGAACTAATCAATAATATGCAATATTACCATTAAGTAAATTTTCATATCTTATTCTTTCATGAACAGCATGTTGATCCATCATTAGCAATAATTCTACATTATCATAAATCATTAAAGCTGCTATTAATTGATTATTAACTTGATTTAATACCTAAACAAAATTATGATAATTAATATTACTTCTCTACTCCGATATTATCAGTATTTCTATGATTATTTATTACCTTTGTAAATTCTAATGCAGTCCTTTGTAATTTAAATTCACAGAAATGTTGTGTAAATGCGCATGGATGTATATCTATATCTTGAGGTTGTTTTCTATTTTCTATTAAATATACACAATTAACAAACTACATATATTAATAATGAAAATATAAAATGAAAAAAATATAAGAATTACTATGTTGAACTATACCTTCATAATTACATGTTAATTCGTTAAAAAATATGCTTGTATCAATGTTATCGAACGAAGGTGTTTTTATTAATTTAATTGATCTAAATTGTGCAAGATTATTTAACTTTTGCGGAAGAAAGTCAAAAACTTTATAATATTTCTCAATACTTTCATTTTTCTTATTCAATTTGGATAGAGAAGTGTGCTTTTCTACTTCATTATATTTCACTTCATTTGTATGATAACTCCAATCAGACCATTCAAAAAGAGAACAATTATAATCTTCTATAAAATCTGTTTTTTTTTCTATGCTATTTCCTTGTTTTGTCGACAATGTTTGTTCTGCGTTGACTGTAGTTTTAACTGAACTTGGATTTACATGATTGGTATATTCTTTTGTATTACAATTCTTAAATATGTTAAAAATAATATTCTTTTCAAAGCAACGTTGATTACGATTGCAATCAACATTTTGTAATTTTGGTTTCTTTATGAAAAAAGTACCAGTCTTCAAATATTCTTCATTAATTATATAATTTTCTATAGAATTTCTTCGCTTTATACTTTCATAGGGGAAAATCCCAAATCTGGTAAAAAAAACTGTCATGGGATTATGATTAATATTAGTATTAAATAGAATAGATTTTTTAATTTTATTAATATTCTTTAAGCGATCTTCTTCACAGAAAAATAAAGGTAAATCATTTTGTACCTCATAGATTGTAGATGCATCAGCTTGTATTGGGTTTTTTTTGCAACTTTCAAAATAATCAGATAATTGTTTTTTGACAGTTTCAAGTGTGAAAAAATCTCTTATATATAGGATGATGCTTTTTACAACTTCATGTATTTTGTCTAACTTATAAGTTAGTATACTTTCGTTTACATCAATAGAAATATCCATTAACGGGCAATTAATAAAAAGCAAAAAAAATATATTTTCACTGGCCAATTTTGTTTTGAAAAGGTAATAATAATTTTGGATGAAATAATTCAGAATTTGGTTTACAAAATGATGACAATAAACTGGTTTATTATTTAAGTAAATGTAGTGCATTTTTTTTACTTTGTTTTTAATAAATCCAATGTAACCATGGTATTGAGTAGATAATAAATTGATACATGGTATCATCCATGTATATTCTAGAAAAATATATTTTCCATATATATTTTGGAATGTTTGCCAAGAATTTGTGTTTTGTTCAATTTTTAAATGACAATATGCTTCGTCATTAATTATGAAAGTAATCTATTGAAATAGCGACAGAAAAATGGGATATTTATTTATCAGCCAAGTACAATGGGCCAAAAGATAATTTTGGTACAATCTAATAGTGGAATAGTTTATTACCTGAGGATTATTTAAAGAAACGTTTGCAATTAGAAGGCATATTAAATACATTAATTGTTTGTGACTTTCCGGAGATATAATATAATCATATAAAGTTAATGTTGTGCCATTTATTGGTCGATCTATTTCATCTCTTAACATAATCATCTCTTTCTCAAAGATCTGACAGAGAAAACGTTTACGTTATATTTATATAAATAACATAAATTATAAAATCTTCAATAATATTCAACTAAATTGCTACAATTTACCTTTGTATATGTATTTTTAGAACCCTCACATTTAGATGTAAGCAAAATGCGATAAAATTGCATAAATGCAACTTTCAAATTATGGTGTCTTAATCTTATAAAAGAAGACAAATCCTTAATATTATTAGCCAATTCAATATCATGTAAGTCTGGAAAGCTGGGTACAAATAATCCTATACCATTATCTATTATCTGAATGCGTCTTTCTATCTTATTTAGTTTTATACATATGTATGTTGCTTTTTCATTTATTGAGTCTAAAACCTAAATATATTAATACAAAATAGACTTAATATAAATGCATAAGCATTTGTTCATCTTTACTACTATTTATTTATTAATTTATTCTAATAAATTCACAATAAAATATACATAAAATTCCCCAATATTGTACAGCACAAATATTAAATAAGATATAAAGAACAAAATAAAAATTGTTCTTTAATTGTTTCAAATATTATAGTATATTTAATTATTGAAATTGTTACAAACAAAGAAAACAAAGAAATGAACAAAAGATGCATACGTACCAATGGGAAAATGTGTGCTGAATCGGTTGTAATGGCTATCATTTCCATGTTTCCTCACCTTGTCTGAACGATTAGAAATAATTCAGGATATGGCTTAACACTTTTTAAAATAATTATAATAAGATTTTAATGATTTTTGTAATAAAGAAATCTAATTAATGCGCAACACCATTTATAGAAACGCAAAGACTAATTTCACCAGATCTAAATGTGTGATTGTCTTTTGTTTCTTTCTTAGGAAATTTTTCAAATTTCAACGTTCGTATTTGAAAACTAATTCTTATTCGTTTGTTTCATTTATTGTTAATTAAAAAAAATATGTAGTCAATGAAATTAAAGATATACAATAGTAATTAAAAGTGCATTATCTTTGTTTTCTGTATATAAAAATTAAAATAAACATATTGAAAGGTAGTAATGTTTTCTTTATACTTAGAAATAAAAATAACTAGGCATTGTTTATGTGTGAAAGAAAAAAAAAACAGAAACTACTTATCCAATTAGCATGTTCGGTGATTTTTGAATAATTTTTTTACTTTATCCGTATCACAGCGTAAATTGTAAAGTTTATTCTTAAAAAATTCTTTCTTTATATATTTTTATGTATATATGTTTATCCGGTCATATATATATATATATATATATATATATATATATATATATGATAACAATCGAAGATGTGCATTATGCAGATTTTCGTTAATTTTACAAGTTTGAAAAAATTGTCGTCAGTAAATATAGGCACTGAAAAAATTACACAATCACTTAAATATATCTAATTGTCTATAAATTTATATATATATAGTAGTAAGCAACCTATAATAAATAATAATTATAAGAATTATAAAAATTAATTATTAATGTTGTTGTAATTACTTTTTACACATGTGTCTCTAAAACATTCGCAATTATTAGTACAAAAATCGCCGAAACATGTCAACTAAGTAAGTTAATTAATTATAATAAAATTTAGATACGCATTGAAAATTTAATATACTGTATATCGATCAGTTGATTAGAAAAACCACATATCGTTTATGACCATACGCATAATTTATAGTTCCATTACTATATGTAAAATTTAATAAAAATTGATCTTATAATAGACAAGAGATCAATATAATATACGATACGATTAGAAAGTTTATATTACATAAATTCTACATTCGATAAGAAAGAACTAAAGTTATTGCTATATAAATTGGGTAAAAAGATGATAATCTTTTATAAGATTGGTTCAATGTTTATGCCAGAATCAAATATTTCCTAAACTGTATTTCAATCTTTCCAAATAGGTTGTGAGTTATGTTTTATTTAGAAAAAAAAAAAACAAGAAAAAAAAGCACATGTTCCAAATGTATGACATTTGTCAATTATTTAAGTTATTTATTTTACATGTGTCTTATTACCGGTGTTCTTTAAAGAATGCTAAAAAAGTGTAATGTACAATAGACATACTATGCTTAAATTATTGTCAATTGAAAACTAAGAAAATTTAGTGAACAAGTACAATAAATAGTTCATCATTATGTACAAAATTTGTTCTTCGTCCAGAGAAGAATAAAAAATAAGAGCATACGTCTTTCTTATATAAGATATAATATAACCATTATGGTATTATTTTTTAAAACAAATTAGAGATTTTTTCTTTTTCTTTTTCATTTACCAATCACCCAAATGCAAACAGATATTTATAAACTATAAGAATCGCTGCAGTCAATTTTACGTACATATTTTTTTACATATAATATAATCTGTACAACATTATTCTCTCGATAAAATTTTTACTGATGTATAATAAAACAATGAATAAAATAAAGTATCCGAAATGATCGTACTATGTATGTACATGTGTACGTATATAAAATAATTCAGAAATTATCTATAGAGATGTTATGTAAAAGTTATGGCAGGTACCATAAGGTTATATTAGTTATTTTAATTACATCAATTATGAAAGCATATGCTATAACACAGACAAAGATTATATGTATCGTTTATATATGGTTTTATGTTACTATTGAAATTAAAACAGACATATTTGGCGCAAGAGACATTGTCCTTTTTATGTCTGATTTTTGTAATGTATCAGTAACATCATTGTAAAATAATTTCAATTTTTATGACACGTGTGTGTATGTATGTTTATATATATATTAAAGATAATAGTGAGAATTTTATTTTTAAAAATATATTAAAGTCATTATAAAATTTTCTTTTTACTGTATCGCTTTCATTGCATTAACAGGAAATTACAATCTATAATAGATATTCTTATAAAGTAACATATCAACGGCATAATCTTTCTATTTATTATATTTAAGAAAAAGAAAATTAAAACGAAAATAAAAATAAAACAAGATTCATTTTTTTTTTAAATTAAATTGCGCGGTAATTCATCTAACGATCTTTATTGCAAACAAAAAATATGTAGATCCTTTCCTGTGTCTACTACAAGTCGAGCATTTAATTAGAAGATAATTAAATGATACAAGGCATATAAATGTTTCATATATATTTGACAAAGGCGAGCTTGCAGAATAATAATCTTAAAATAATGTCTGATTGTCTATCGATATAAAATGTAAAAAAAGAAACAAAAAGGAATCAAATTAGAGAAGAGCTCGCTATAGTTATCTTTTTAATTTGGAGAGTTATCGTAGTAAAATTATAGTAATAATAACAATCACATATTGTGTCATTTATTAACGAGATATATAACACACGTATAAGATGAAGTTATATAAATAATTTAGAGGCATCGAATAGACGATGCTTAGTGCTTATAAATCATGTAACATGAAAAAATTTATATATATATATATATATATATATTTTTTTTTTATTTAATATATATATATATATATATATATATTTATATATAAATGTGTGTGTGTATGTATGTAAGTGTGTGTGATGTCTGTATGTATGTATGGGAGCATGCGTGCGTGTGCGTGTATGGGGGTGTGTATACATAGAGTTATTTGTAATTCATGTATGTATGTACACAGAGCATCTATAATGCCCTGAAAAAGTGATAGACACCAGTATCTCATCAGATGTCGTTAGACACATTCGAAGACTCCCACGCACATTATTTTCTTACACTGTTATATCATATAATTATATCTGAAAGTTCTTGAAATTATAATTGGTGCGTGCGTATGCATTAACATATGTATATATGTATGCGAGTTTTAAAAACTGCATTCATTTATGCATATATACGTGAAGACACAATACGCGCATTACATATGTTACATACATATGTATAAAATATTGAGTTATATTCTTATAAATATATCATCTAAATTATGACGCTTCGGCAAATTATATAATCACTTAGAGAAGAATTTCACAATTTAGTTCATTAAACCTTAGGCACCAATGGTATGCAGACCCTGTCTTTGGTACGCGTGCGACCGAATCATTATTAATATTTTATCTAAAAAACAAAGGATACACAGGAGAACAATGATCTTCCATAATTTTTTCTTCAACGATTGTTCGTCGTTTACTTTTATTGTTTAAATCTTTCCAAGTGTTTTGTTATTTTTTATTTGTTTTTTTTCGTGTGTGCGGGATTTTTGCGTTAGTTTTTTCTTTTTCTTTAGTAAGTCAAACACACACACACACAAATACATAGGGGGAAGGGGAGTCGATTCTAGATCAAGGAGATAACAAAATATTTCTGATAAAGAATCTGCCTTGGTGGTGTATCCCACTCACCTAAGAAGAAGTTGACAATTTAGTCATTTAAACTGTAGGCACCAATGGTATGCAGACCCTGTGTCTTTGGTACATGCGACCGAATAGATATCATCATTTTGTTTAAAACAAAAGGATATACAGAACAATAGTCCTCTGCAATTTTAACAATTTTTTTACTCGTACTCTTACTCTTTATCTTTATCTTTCTTTTTCTCTATCTCTATCTCGTGCGTTAACTCCTTTATCTCGCTTCTTTATTATTTTTATATCATTCTTTTATGTTATTTTCTTTTTTCTTGTTAAACTTTCTTGCACGATGCCGTAGAAATTAGTTATATTCGTTTATATCAGTAACATTGTCTTAAAACAACACATTCATTATAGAAAGCTCAGTCTTCTTCCTTCTTTTCCGGTTTCAAGTCCACCATTGCATGGAGTTGCTCTGGATTACATCTGTAAGGAAATGATTAACTTTATTTAATATAATATATATTATAATATATGTATCAATAATGATATTTATATATTAAAATATAAATGCATCACATACCCAAGTAGATTTTGTAAGTCACAGACGAAACGGTATACGTAACGCTTACCAGCAGTCTTATGTATAATATTTTTATCATAATAGTACCGTAGACCGCGGCTTAATTTTTCGTAATTCATTTTAGGCTTATTCTTTCTAACACCCCAACGTCGTGCCACTTCATCGGGATCCGTAAGTTTAAATTCCCAACCATCTCCCGTCCACGAGATGAAACTCTGACATGATTTATTGGTCAGAAGTTCCAATAAAAATTGCCAGAGTTGTATTGGTCCTGAACCTGTGAAATATGGACCACCACCTGCACAATTATCACCTATATTTCTATTCAGTTGTCCTATATCATTTAGTTTATTATTATTTGTATTAGTTATCATAATATATTGTGTAGTAGATGCTTACCGGTATAACTAGCTGCGATCATTGCACTCTGCAGGAGAGGCTTTTGATCGGCGTTATTACCAATGGAAGGTGGATGGTGTGCACCAGATGAATCTCGCGAGCTAAGACTTGCGATGAACGCTGGATGATGAGAAAGATGTTCACCGATAGGTGCAACACCCCATTGTTCACTTCCAACACCAGCAGCTCCAGTTGCTGTGTTTCCACTCCCAGGAACCGTTTGAAATGGTGTCGCATCGTATTGACTGTATCCACCGCTTTCACTGTATCCTTCGTGATATCTCGCTGAAAAATGTAACGTAAGTTTAATTCTGCGATATCTAAATTGTCATTATATCGAACAGTAGATATTTAAAATAGATCATTATCCTGCCTTTTAAATTATTGAGTGAGTTCTTACAAAAGGTTTAATGTAATAGATTAATGTACATTTATTATACACAAATTCAAAACGTGATTGTAACGAGAAGTAGGAGGAAAGGCGAGATCATCAATTGTTATTATATATATGAGATCGCTATAAATTGTTCTTTTTTCAAACAAAAACAATGCTACCAGTATATAAATGTAAAATTATCAAATTTAAGTTGCAATACTGCAGAATTTATGTTACTTTAGGCAATACGTAGTATTTAAAAATTTTCAAATCAACGCATAAACGTGTCACCTGATACCCACATTCATATTTTATAGATCTCGTTTCTAGATCCTCTCTTTTTAAAGATTATTTTATTTAGATTACATATATAAAAATTCAATTGAATAATTGTTATGCAACCGAATCGTTGAATTTTATCGGTTAAAATTTAATCAGTTGTTTTGACTACGATCGATATTCGAGATCAATGAAGTAATTTGTAGTACCTCGAGGATAATTTTTAAACGGCGATGGTTGATACTTCGGCTCGAGGTGGATACCACTGGTACTGTAAAATTCTGGCGAACTATCTAGATTATAGGTATGAGGAGTTTGATGATCCTGCGATAGACCGTGATAATCAGAGGCCTCGTCATATCCAGAATAATGCGCGGGAGTAATGTAGTCTTCTGTCGTTCCGGTATTGTTAACCCTAAGCTCGCTCTCATTGGTCCCCGTTGCACCGAGATCACCGCCACTGGCCAATCCGCCGGTTCCTCCTTGTAAGTGCTCCGCTGCTATATGGTGGCTGCTATAGTTCGCTACAAAATTTTGCAAAATTCAATCGATTTATTTTATTTTACTTTACTTTTTAATTATATTTTATTTATCGAATATTTCAAACCAACCATGTAACTTTGATTTGAAAATAAGATTAAAGTATAGTAGATATAACATTACTGGTGAAGTTAAAACATTAAAAATTTTAATATTATGATTTTTTACTCTACATGGGGGTGGGGGGTGGCGTTAATAACAAGTTGCATTAGAATACTCACATTCCGTTTTGAGTTCATTTAAATTTCGTAGGTGTATATATGCATTATTTGCATTGTTGTTGTTGTTATTGTTGTTATTTCCCGTGGGTGTACTGGAATGAGAATTAGGAGGTTGTGTACTATGGCTGTGGGGTGGCGGCGAAGTTTCTTCCCTCTGACTTTCATCCTGACACACGGGACTACGTAAATGCGCATAACCTCCTAGAAAAAATTCCCCAAAAACCGGTAAGATCAATGCATTTTTTATGAAATCTATATTAGAAAGATCTCATATAATTTCTTGAATTCCAATATAAAAAAAAAAAAGTAAATTCGTCACAATAATGTACATAAAAAGATATTGGTTTATCCATATAAAAGAGAAATTCGTCACTAAATATGAGTTTTAATGATATGTAAAAGGAGACGAAGTTAAGATATATACTTTTAACATATTTTTTATACAAACAAAGTGTAATAATTTCAAGTGCGGTTAGAAAGAGAGAGTGAAACACCGGAGTCTGCAGGGAGGAACCACAGCGACACGTGGGCGGTACGCATCTCGCTGATTGGCTCGAACAAACTCCGCCTATTCTCTCAGCGACCTTTCCTTCGCTTCGAGGAATCCGTTCCCGCCGAATGCGGAGGCTGCATTAGCTTCGCCCACGACAATGTCGTCGTTTTCGTCATCATCGTTGTCTCTACGATCTGCACCAAATTTTTACTTCTCTTTCCTTTTTTTTTTTTTTTATTTATTTATTTTTCCCTCCCTTTTCTGTGATTATTCTCCTCATTCACTAAATATTAGATTTTCTTTTTATTCGATAACGCATCGAACATGGATTTCAAAAATATTTTTGAAAATACCATCATTTTCTATTGTCTTTTAGTGAATTTTCATTGCATATATCAAAATTAGAAATTTTGCAAACAATTCGATATTATTTATTTTAGGGCATTAACAATGGCTGCAGAAGAGGTAAGACATAACGAAGATATTATCATGAAAGAGCAGGTGGACGCAAGAAGAAGAAACATTGCTGTGCAAGAAAAGAGAAGGCAGATGCGTCCACATGTAATATCGTTTAATTATCTTTACACTGGTTTTTTTTCTTTTCAAGAATATTTACTTGATCGATAAACTTAATGTTAATCATAGGATTATAAGTTAACTTGTTTCATATAAAGATTTCCCGAGTTTATTTATTTTACGTTTCATTTAATTTATTTCAAGTTTATATTATAGAATATTAACAATTTCTTCACTCACATAAAATAGATCCCATGAACAAATGAATTCATTTTTTGACATTTTCTATTTATGAGGAATTTAAAGTTGTAAAAAAGTGTGCTATTTATTAGAGGAACAAGTGTAATAATTTCATAAAAATTAAATCAATTTTTTTCATCGAATATTACTATCATAAAAAATTAAACAATCGAATTTTTTTTATCACACTCCGTAAATTTCTTGTAGTCTGTAATGCAAAACTACGTTTACGCAAATAACTATCATTTTGTCCTTATTATCGTGGTGCGTATGGTAAGGAAACTCTTTCAGATATATATACTTATCTATATACTTATCTATATACCATAGATTTGTAATATGTTCGTTGCTGTTTTAGACTGTACTAACATCATACATTGTTTTTAGGTTGAGCTACACGATTTCACGTAGAAAGGAAAAATAATACATTTCGATTGTTTAGAAATAGTCAATAGATATTTTCAATAATTGAAACGATTTATCAACACAATAAGTATTGTTGAATTTATACACGTTATATACATACAATATAAAACCGAAACAAAAGTAGTAACACGGATTAAATTTTCCTATAACATTCTATCTCAATCAGTTAAAAAGTACGAATATTTATTTCATTACAATATACAAATAGCAATTAAATGAAGTCTTGTCCGTGCTTGTGAAGCTGAATAAATATATTTCAGCGAGACGAGTAAAAAATGCCTAATTATCATGGGTCTTAAAATCATAGGACTTGGTAACATATTTAATGTATACGAAAGAATTTGCTTAGAAATACACTAGTTCAAGAAATATTTGAAAGTGTATGTCAATCTATGTTCCGTAGATGTGAGAATAGCATTCAAATGGAAGAAAGACATATCAAATATCTATGATTTATATATTTTCAATATGTTGCCGAAAGACTTGCTTATGATATCGAACGCTCTTAAATAATAAAAGTTAATTTAAAAAGTAAAAGAGTTGATTTTTATTTATTAAATGTTAATTAGACATTTTTTTTATACGTTTTAGTGAGTACTACAAGCTCTTCAAATATTGAACCCTTTTTCTTTACAATCTTGTATAAAAAATTGGAATACTTTTAATGGTTAAAAATAATTTCTTAGCTTTATCCATTCATATTCATAATCACTTTTGTTACTAAAATCAATACTTAATATTCATGGCACATATAATATTATAACAGTAGACTCAAGAAACATTTATCTAAAAAAGAAAAAAAAATGAAATAAATAAGAAAATTGTACTGAAAATGAAGTCAATATCAATACTTTTGTTTAGCACTGTATCTATAAAAATAGGCAAATGCGTAGTACCTATACACAAATATTTGTATAAGTATATATTTTACATATCTAAGATTGAAAAACAATGGTAAAGGTGAAAAGAAACGAATAAAGAAAAGAGAAAGAGGGAGAGAGAAGGAGGAGGGTTTTCGCTCTCATAAAATACACCGGGTTCCGTTTTTATACGGGCGATTTACCTACACCTGCGGAGTCCACCACGCGCGTAACTGCAGCTCGCACCCCATGTTGCTTCACACAGGGAGCGTGGGAGTGCAGGTCGACGTCGGCCCTCACGGCGGCCCTCACGGCGGCCCTCACGGCGGCCCTCACAGTCGGCCCTCAACAACGACGACGACGACGACGTCGTCGTCCCTTACTCACTCAAACGCACCCCCCCTTTTCTCGCGCTCGCCTTTTCTCCCTTCGACTCATGTTTTTGGCTTCGCGCCTTCAGACCTTTTCTCTTTTCTTTTCTTTTCTTTGGTGTGCACGATTATGTCTAAGTATACGTACTTTTAAAGAAGGAATTTCTTTTCTAAGTTTTACTTGAGATCTACATAAGAGAGAGAGAATACTTTTTTCGGTTCATACCATAAAAAAGTTCAATGTAAAGTCAAAAGAATGAGGAACAAAATGAAAATAAATCTATGATTTCAATCTAATAATGTGAAACAATAATGTATAAAAATTTAAATAAAATAATGAAGACGACAATATATATATATAAAGATATAGAAATGTTAAAGAGATATAAGTGAGGTTGATGTATACACGTTTAGCAAATTGATGTAAGATATGAAATTGAACATGATAATTAGAATTAACTCGATTTCTAACTGACACAAATGAGACGAGGGAAAAGTAATCGATCAGGCACGTGCACTTTGATATATCGTGCTCACGTGGAGAGTACCAAGAAAGAAAGAAAGAAAGAGAGTTAGTAAGAGTAAGCATGTAAGTAAGTAAATAAGTAAGTAAGAGCGACAGTATAACAGGCACAGCAGTCGTTTAACAGCCGCATAGCAGGCACGCATCAGCTGTGGAACAGGTGCCGGCCGGCAAGCAACCAACATAGGCCCGAAAGAGAGTTTGAGTTGGACGATGCCGGCAACTTCTTAACGAAAACGAGCGTAGGAAACGAGGAGGACGGAACAGAGGGCTAACGTGGCACGCGCCAAATCGAATGTAACACGGCTCTTCCTTCAGAAAGCACAGCTGCTGTGTTACTGCTCCTTCTGCTGCTATTGCTGTTACTACTGTGTGCTCCTGCTGCTGTTGCTGCTAAGGCTGATTTTTTGGCTTCTTTATAATTCATTTCTATGACCGATATTGAACTTTAATAGCACAGTCTTCAACGTTCTCTATCATATTCTCTTATTATCTCTTTAATCTGGATTATTTTTGGGTAGCGTCTGCCATTTGTGCATTTACTAAATTATACGAATAATTATTATTATTTATATGACCGTGTATAAATCATACACGGTTTTATTAATGATAGAATTGATTTATTCATGATATGTTTATTACGAGAAATACATAAGATATCTCATTCACATATAATATTCAATCAGACGAAAAACATGTAAGGTAGCATTACATTTAAAATGATAGGATAATTCGTTAAATTATACGATATATTTGATTGGGAAATAAGTTTGTAGTGTTTTAATATTTTCTTGTTTTACAACGATTTTTTTGCTGTTTGACAGAGTGTATAATATTCATTCGTTAGAGCTCTTTCTGCTCTGCAAAACTGTGCTAATTGTCTTTTTGAGTAATTTAATTTGTTATTACTAGAAATGGAATATCCAAAAGGTAAAAATCAACATTTTCGACATTTGTTCTTCTTTGCTTTTCATCGAGGCCAAAAAGCTGCCCGAGACATTTGCAACGTATACGGTGAAGGTGTCATAGGCGAGTCTACAGCGTGGAAATGGTTTGCAAAATTCAAAAATGGCGATTTTGACGTCGACGACACGCCCCGCAGCGAAAGGGGCGTCCTTCTGAACGAACGTTCGTTCTTCTGAATTCGACGAAGAGCGTCTGAAAGCACTTTTGAAGGAGGACGGTCACTAAACGAGTCGTGAATTGGCCGAAAAAATGAACTGCGATCATAAAACGATTCTCAATCATCATAAAACCCTACCCAACCTAACTTATAATCCAACCTAATAAATTGTATTAATATACGATATTAATTTATTTCTATATTTTTCCTATGCATATTTATTACTTCGAAAAGTAGATAACAATAATAAAAAGATAGAAATAAAAGAATGAGAAAGAAAGAAAGAAAGAAAAAAGAAAAGACTCGTTAGGTCAGACATGCATTGAACTAGAAACTCATTGGAGCCTTAAAAACATCCATACATATATATATGCACATAGAGAGACACTTGGTAAAAGTATGTACGTATATATTAGTGCGTGTAACGTGTGTATGTTGAAGCCAGGCGATTGTGCGATGCGCTCATAAAAAACGTCACCCTCTGACGGCAACGAAATCGCACATTGTTCGGTAGACCGCTGACCTGCGAACTCTCCCACAATCTACCTTCACCACGCTCTCTATGTATATCCGTGTTACATACCTTTCTTTTTAATATGTGTGCATAAGTACGCGCGCCACTGTGCTAAATTAAAATGTATTCGCCCCG